TCAGCTTTCTAAAAGAAGCTTGGTTAGAGTGTGCACAGTGTGTTCTGGACCTAGAACTTGACTGACCCGGTTCAAAGAAAGAACTTTTCTTATTCAGTTGATAGCACACCCTAGTGGACACATTTTGGAAGCAAATGATCTCACAATGATGGCTCCCCATGTATACTTTTCTGGTGCTTATAATGCTGGCAATAAAACGTTCCACCTTGCTCCTTTCTTACCTCAAGGTAAGAAAGTAATGTGTTCCTTCTAATGCATTACTAAGAAAATAGTCTTTCCCCAATTTCTTGTATATTCTAAATTTCTATAGGCAGGACCAGCCTCTCTTGGGATGCCAATTTGCATGGAAACACATCTCATGGCATAATATCCCAGAACTCTGAAGAATTTTTCGGGAATACCAACACTTGGGGTGTATGGGTGAATACTTTTGAGTACTTTTAATCACCATACCTTCTTTAAGCTTAGCCAGCGCATATCACATGTTTTCCTACCCCTAGCTGAAAAATCTTCATTTTAATTCCCAGTTTATCCCAATTTCTCTTTCTCTTTAAAAAGTAAAGACATCATTATCTCTAGATCTTTCAGTAATGAACCAGCTAGTTAGTGTTATCAAGACCATTTACTATTCTCTTCTTTTGCTCCTTCCTATTCTTTGGACATTTGACTGTCTACCCTGATCAGACCCATCCATCCCTTAGAAGTTCTAGGAAACATAGTGGAAGAGAAGTTAGACGCTAAAGACGCTAAAGGGTCAACTGAAGCTTTGAATCACTGATGGATTTTGAGTATCTCTTCCATTCCAGACCCCCTCAACAGCATGGATAATTCAGTATTTAAAGATATTAATGGCCACAAATGACTGATAACAACACATCTATGCTTCATAACAGTTCAAAGAGCTTCTTGCCCCAGTTCCTGTTTCTGCTGGTGCACTGCTCCTGGGCTGTCCCTTTCAGTGGGGTAAGGGCATGAGGCAGTGATCACAGACACCTGGTTATGGCTTAGAGCAGAGTTACACAAGTGTACACACAAAATGGTAGAGAAAGATCAAGAGCTGAAAAGATTCTGGTTTGGGCCCAAATCACTAGTCATTTCACTTCATGAGTAAAAGCAAATGCTTTATAAGCTTACATTATTTACAATGCTTAGGTTTTTCAAACATCCACCCAAAGCTGAGGACCACCACGCCACAAGGTACAGTTCAATAAACTATGTACAGAATTTACAAGGAAGTTTACATAGTAGTCTACATTCCATTAACAAATTTACCTTTGTGATGCCTGCTTGTTTTCAGGAAACACATTTTTTTCTGTTCTTTTTATCCCAGTAACTGTGAATTGAACCAACATAAACAAATGCTTGCACATTCTTTTTTCCTCCCTCCTGGGATATATGATTATAATTTATTTCAGAAAAAAATGGTGGCACATTACCCTTTGGTAAGATACTGTTTGAAATTTTCCATAAGAAACCTTGGAGACTGTTTCTTTCTAAAAGCATTATACATGTATCCTTTTTATTTAACTTGGCAAATTGTAATTGAGCTCTTTCCTAAATGAATATTTATAAAATAGTCATTGATTTTTAGAAAGATGGAATTGAGTCAACATTTCTGTGCATTGTACATAATATTTTTTTAAAGGAAAGCCTATCCTTGGACTCTTTAAGCAAAGTTTATTTTCCCCACCATATTTTTCTGTTTGCATTTTTGAGATTCTTCATTGACTGTAATGCTCAATAAAGATGACATGTATGAAAACACATATCTTTCAGTTAGCAGAAGTACCAACCAGCTGCTCTTTCTATCTGGCAATAGAGGATGGAGAAAATACTGTTTAATTCAAGCAAAAGTAGGTCTTTACCTGGGTCTTTGCCTCACAAAGTTGGTAAGGGTAATGCACTTTACACCTGATACTTTAAGCTGAGGAAGAATTATGACTAGAAGGAATGTCAAGTGAATAATGGGATAATCTGGTAGATCTACACAGGTTGAGTCTATAACACAATTTATGTCACAGTTGACGAACTGTGAACATGGGGTTCCCTGGACGTGACTGTGGCATAAAAGAGTGTATCTGTGTAATTTTTAGTCTCTTCTGCCACTTAAGTAATGCAGGGGATTATGGCTATTTTCATGGCAAAAAGGAAACAACTCAATAGCAGTAAAATAATAACCCTTGTATAATGTAATAATACGAATCTTTCAAGAATAGGGGAGCAGTGTGAGGGTATTTAAGAGTGTTACATAAACTTTTAAGATTTGTGTACAATATTTTGGGCAAGTCAAGGGAGACAACTGAGAAAGAAGAGCCTGGTTTTTTTTCCTCATGCCATGTTTGGTCTATAATGGGAGGAGTCAGCCAGGATAGGGGCTAAGGAGGAAATGATTTGTCTGGGAAGTATCCAGAAGAAGGAAATAGGAACAGAGAACAGTAACCACAAGCATGGCAGCTCCTCAATTCTTCTGGCTCCCTTGCCTCTAAAATCAGAGTTATTTGATAGGATTTGCATAATGGTGACTATGATCCTTCTACCACCCAAATGTCTTACCATATTGTGCCCAATGGGAAAATTCAGGCTAAATAATTTTACATTTTACAAGGGTTAGGACACAAGAGTTGAAACTTTTTTTCTCAGAAGATGCATTACATCTAAAACATCAGCAAGGAAACACTTTAGATTTTTAGAGGCAAGATAAAAGTAATAATGCAGATACGAATTACCTCAATCTTTTCCAAGAAACATGATCTAAGCAGATATGTAAAGAGAAATGATTTTGTTAAGGGACATGGGTTACAGACACTTCCTTTCTGATTTAGCATTTCATCCTTTAAAGCTTTCCAAAGTGCTTTGACATCAGAATGATTCATTCTCTTATACCCAAAATTTCACTTCCTGTCTTTAAAACAAATGGCTGCACAGTGGTTCCTAGATGGTCACTGAGAGTATTAACTGAACAATCACTGGCATGACTACATTCCATTCCATTTGGGCATTCTACAATGGCAAAGCATCTCACCAAGAGACTGAACAGTGTTTTAAATAGATGAGTTCATGCCCACAGACTGGGGGTTACCTTGACCAAGGAAATGTGTTTGTGTCACTAAAAACCTAAATGAAAGTTTGGTCCCCATTACCTTATCAATTACTCTCGAAACCACTGAGATCATTTTTCTAGGTAAAGGAATTTTTAAATTTTTACTAATGTATATAATCTCCAGCCATACCTATTTACCTATTTGTGGGTTCCCTTTTCCTCTTGATTTCCCCTTAAGCTCATCAGAAGGAATTCAGTCTTATCTTTCCAGTTATGACTGTAATTTCCAGCAACTCACACTATTCTACACATAGATCTTCCACATAGCTTTAGAAAAAAAATCCAGATCATCAAATGAGGCAATTATCCTATTACTTCCTCAATCCTTGTTTCAAATGCTAGGATTAGGTGCGAAATTAATCACCTTTATCATTGCTTGGTCAATTTAGGTCTTACTCAACCTTGAAAAAAAGAGCATATACAAGTTTCACATACTCAAACTGAAAAAAATGAGATTTTAATGACAGAAAATGGGAAAGATCTCAACTGTAACTGGTTGGGCACATTTAGAACTGTGTGTTGCATCACTGATGGTGTGAGAACCATGACCCAGAATAATCAAGAGAGAGATAAGGCAGAATAGGAATGACGGTGAATAATGAGTGTACATGGGGTTTCCATTTTAGTGTTAGAAGGCCCAGTACTTTTTCCAATATTGTTTTTATCTGTGGTGTTACTCCTTCAAAGGTCTTAAAATGGAAATGGCTTTGGAGGAATGGTATACCAACATAGGTGAGTCGCATTTCCTGGATTATTCTCTTCCTAGTTTGAAATGCAGAGCTGACAGTAGAGTCATAAAGTGCCAGTGGAGACCTGTGTGACTAGCTTGTCACCATTAACTATGGCTCTCTAGAAGGCTAAGAAATACACACTCATTGATTTAAGATTTTGCAGTTCAGATAACTGCCCAGGCACCCTTTCACAGCACATAAATCTTGCCTCATTCATGGAGAGGGCAATATTTTTCTTTGGCAAAAACTGAACCTCATCCCTTTCCTCAAAGTCCTCTCCTCCCCTTTCTGTCACTGTGGAGGAGCAAATAGAAGGATTTCAGGCTTGTGAAGTAAATTCAGGTCTTCTCATCGGAAATGGACAATAAGAAAAATGGTCATTGGCTCCTCAAACTTTTTATTCTCAAGAAGAAAAAGAAAAATGGTCTCAATGACTACCAGTTTGACCAGGCTGGATTCTAATGTCAATTGAGCATTTGCCCAGGAGTCTGAGAAGGAAGCATTTCTAAGGATGCTCAGCCTAAGGATAGATGAAGAGGGCAGGTTAAGTTTACATAACCTTTGTCAGCATTTGCTGATTTCTTCATCCTCTTCCAGGGAGCTGAGGAGATCTTCCCTGACTTGGGGGAATCAGAGTGGAGTGGAACTTTCCTTTCTTTTCTAGGCTCCTTTTGGTCTTTCCCCTTCCTGGAAATCTGTAACTGGTCAATGGCTTTGTTTTTACTTCTGAGATCCTGGAAAGTGTGTGTGTGTGTGTGTGTGTGTGTGTGTGTGTGTATTTTGGCAGCAAGAAATTGTTACAGTTTCCCAGGAAGCAATGCAGGTGGACGGTGAGGTCCTCTTTTCATTTAAAAAATAATTCAACAAAATCCAGGACAACTAGGAGAGACAGCTAAAGACCTACCTAACTTCTTTCTTTGTGTTTGTAAACATGGCAATTAATAGAGCTCTTAAAGAGCTAATAACCTGGACCACAGTAGACTGGAAAAATATTTTTTTGAAGTAAATATGGTGCAGTAATAAAATTGATATGCGAGACTTAAAACCAATTGGATGGCTGAATCTCTTACCCAAAAAAACAGCAGTATCTCTGTTGGGGACCTGTGGAGTTAAAAAAAAAAAAAACAAGAGAAGAGGAAAATAGTCTAAATCGAACCATTAGACAAAACTTAGTGTACATAATAAAGCCAATAGACGACGTTAAAAAGAGAAAAGGTGATGGGAAAAAACATTCGGGACCACTTGTCTATGGAGTTCACGTCAGTCAAGTCGGGGATTTTGACTTTGAGCTGGGAGGCGCGCCTGCGGATGCGCCCCTTGCTGGGCACCCCGTGCCGGTCCAGGGCGCGCCCGTAGCCCTCGCGGCTGCTCAGCGGCTTGCGGTACTGGATGCTGGCGCTGTCGTATGAGTACATGGTGGCCTTGGGGTCGCTCACGCTCGTGAGTACTTCGGTGCCACTTGTCTCGTTCCTTATTTCCAGGGTGCTGAGGAGAATGTTGCCATGGGGGTCGACCTGATGGCAGAAAGGACAAGTTTAGACACAACTGCCAGGATGTTGGCTTGTCATTTTTAGCCTGTTCTATGCCCCCATGGACTCATTATTCCTTCTCTATGGAGAGCTGGCTCTCTGCTTCTCCTGGACATGGAGGTTTTCTTTCTATCTATCTAATCTATCTATCTAATCTATCTATCTATCCATCCATCTATCATCATCTATCATCACCTACTTACCAATCGATCCATCTATCTATATCTGTCAATCATCTATCTTGCAAGCTATCCGGCCATGTATGTAAGTGTCATATGTCCCCAATCACAAAACATTGGTGTGTTTGTTTATGTGTGTGTGTGATTTCTTCTTGTTGAATACAAGTGGTACATGGGAATAAAACTAGAAAAAATAAAAAGTAAAAATTCACAATGCACCTTCACAATCATTAATATCTTGCTAAACTTCCAGTCTTTTTTTGTTCATGTGTATTTACAAATACAAATATTTTGCTTTGCAAATCCACTTTGTCAGTTATTAATACAGCCTCGTCCTCTTTCCATGTTAACAGATATTCTTCTGTGACATCTTTTTATTAATAACTTACATGGATGAATCATAATTAAATCAATCTGTTGTTAGATGTTAAGACTTGTTTTACTTCTATAGTTTTATCAACAAGTCTGGAAGGAACAACTTTTAGTTAAATTGTTGAACATGTCCATAACTATTTCCTCAGGCTAAACTGCCAGAAATGGAATGAATAGGTCCAAGGATATGCCTGCCTATACTTGAACTTTTGATTCTCCACCATTGCTCGTTGTTGCTTCCTGCCATTCCAGCGATTCCTGTTCCAAACTTGCACATCTATTGCCTTTTTAATTTATGGAGCTATTATTTTTGTCATTAATTATATTGGTTAATCCTATTGTATAATTTATCTCAGTTATTTCTCACACTAGCACTAAGAAATACATAATATTATTATCTCAGCTCAGCAGATGGTGAAATAAGCTCAAAAAGGTTAGGTAAATTATCAAAAATTAAACAAATGATCGCCCAATTTGGGATTAAATATATAGGATTTGCTTTGTCTCAAACATTTTTGCTCCTCCTTTTATGTTAATCAAGTTGGTCTGTTTTCTTCAAAGCTCAATTTACTTTTAAAAATTTTTTATTAGAATATATTCATTATATAGAGGGATTCATTTTGACAATTCCAAATAGGCTTATGTTGCACATTGGTTAGATGACTCCCACAAGAATATGAGGTCCATCAACCATATACCCTCACATTAATCTTCTTCATTCACCCCTCCCTTTTTCAAGTACTCCCCCCCCACACATTGTACCTATTTTACAGACCTGTCTTTCATTATTAATATTTAAGTTGATGTTCAAAGGGGTTTCTCAATATATCCCCACTGTGGGTATACTTTACTTTGGTCTGTCCAGCCCCTTCTGTTGCTCTCCCTTACCCCTTTACCTCCCACCCCCCATTTTACAACAGCTTTCAATGCATATCCTTATATCCTCTACCTTCACACATGTGTTTTTACAATATTGTTGATGTTCCATCATTCTCTTTTCCTTTCCTTCCTTCAATCCTGCTTTCTCTGTGTACCTTTAATCTTTCAGGATAATAGTAACCTCAGGAACTTTCTCCAAACATTTATTGAGTGCTCACTATTGTTCCAGAAACAGTGTTAGGAGTCAAGGAATTATGTTGGGTAAAATAAGCATTCTTACATTAAGAAACTTAGCACTGACTTTTAAGGCAAAATTTATAAATTCAGATCCAACAGGGACCAAGAAGCATGAGTGAGTAGAGGCAGGTGAGTATAGATAATTGAGTGGCACTAGGATGTGGTAAGGACTATGGTAAAGTAAATATCTAAAGAGGACACTGAAACTCAGATACAGCTAATAACTACAGACCATTAAAGAACCTTATCTAGATTTTTGTTTGAGGACGCTATATTAAGGTAGCTCCATATTGTAAAAATGCTCCTCACGCCAAACAAACATATCCATGTCACATTGGGCATTTAGATGGCCAATTAGAGACCTCTAGTCTTTTTCATTCATTTATCCTTTAACATATAATACTTGTATCAATCTTGAATTTTAGGTAAAAGTCCTATTTTCCCACCCAGACATAGAAGTGCTGGGACATAGATAAAAAGAGCTTGGATCAGGGCAGTGCAGTAGAAAGGAATGGAGGGATCTGTGAAAAAGAAAGATCTGCCATATGACCCAGTGATACCACTCCTAGGAATATACCCAAAGCAATGTGAGTCAGCTTACAACAAAGACACCTGCACTCCCATGTTTATTGAAGCACTATTCACAAGAGCTAAGCTATGGAAACAGCCAAGATGCTCCACTACAGATGAATGGGTTAAGAAAATGTATTTATACACAGTGGAATTTTATTCAGCCACAAAAAAAGAATGAAAATTTGTCATTTGCAGGTAATGGTTGGAACAGAAGAACATCATCTTAAGTGAAGTTAGCCAGACTCAGAAGGTCAAAAGCTGCATGTTCTCTCTCATATGTGGGATATAGACCTAATACAAATGCAGTAATATTATGCAACACTGCCCTCACTAAGGGGAGGTCACACATGGGAGGGGTAGGGTAAAAGAAGAAAACTAAGAAATTGAATATGGTTGATATATTCTCTATACAAGAATGAATATAGAAATCTTAAACTGGCTGAAGCCACCATAAGAAAGGGACTAAAGTAGAATGCTGATAATAAGAGGAGATATGGGTAACACATATACACATGGAAATATCACAAAGAAACTCCCTGTATAGCTACCTTTATCTCAAACAAACAGTAATGTCATGCTTTTCTTTTGATCTTTTCTCATTTTTCTTGTGCAAAATCAAAGAACAGGAAGGCAGAACAGGTCCTGTCCAGGGGGGAGAGTTGGTATCAGTGGAAGCGGGTAGGAGGGTGAATACAGGAAAAATAATGTGTACATGTGCATGTAATTGCAATATTGATACCTGGTGTAATTATTCCGTGAATCAGGGAAAGGGGAAATAGAAGGGGAGCAGTGGAGGGTGTGAATTCAAGAATGATATAGTTGATAAATTGCAAGGACCTTTGTAAATGCTACAGTGTACCCCCACCCGCACAACAGTAAAGAAAAAAAAAATAAAAGTAAAAGAAGAACTAAAACACAAGTAGAATTGACTTGATTGGACTTTACAGGGTAAGGGAAGAAAGGTGATTTTGGTTTTGATTGTCATTTTTTGGGGATGAGAAGACTAGATTATCATTAGCAGAAATGGGGAGTTCAGTGTGGAGTATCTGAGGAGTAAAAGCAAAAGTTTGCTATTTTGGTCAAATTTATGGCATACATTAAACATCCTGAGTGTCATGGCTAATCAGTGATTGTATATCAGTGATGACTAGAATATGCTGAGATTGATACTATTTTAAGAAGTAGGAGATAGATATAGAGTTAGTGAAAGAGATATTGAGAAACTAGAGAGGCTAGAAAAGAATAAGAGAAAGTAATAATGGGGAACTAGAGGAGGGTCACCAAAAGGAGAGAGTGTTCCAGAGAAAACAGAGAGAAGGACATTGTAGGAAAGGCTCATAGATTCATCAATAAAACCATGTGTGGTTTTAGAGTAAGAGCTGAAGCAGAACCTAGATTGCAAGGGATTAAGATTGAATTGATGGAAAAGAGGTGCAGGCAGATCACATAGATTTCCTTTTTTCAAAAGTTTGTAGTTAAAGGTAAGAAAAGAAATAAAACATTACCTCGCACATGTGAGTTAGGGTGTCAGGTAAAGCTGGAAGAGATCAAGTTGCCATGGGAAAGGAAGGCTGATAAAGGCAGATTTTGTGGGAGTGAGTGAGGAAGTCAAAGATGAGGCAGTATAGCAGATGCCTTCTGAGTTGGAAATTTAACACATGGAAATCTGAGTGATAAGGACATTTGATTAGGAGGTGCTGATGTTTCTTTAAGGACTGAGACTAGGTGATGAGTTGGCTGAGTCTATGGCTTTATGGTATGTGTATTTACACCACACAGTGTTAGTCTGTGATTGGAAAGTCATGCATGAGAACATTTGTATTATTAAGACTGGTAGGGTTGAAGTGACAAGGAGCAAATGCTGAATTAATTGAAGGGGGGGGGTACTTCAGAAAGTGAGTAGTACAACAAATGATTTTTTTCTAGGTGCTGCATAATAGTTAAGAAAAACATAAATCATAGATTTTTGTCCTTAAGAGATAGTCAGATAATCTCTTTAGAGATATATGACTAAAGCATAATAATATTGGAGTGGTGGTGAAGTATTTTAACCAAATGCTAAATGGCACAGTATAGACCATAATAAAGGGTTCATAAAAATGAGAAACCACTAGAGGTCACAGAAGGCCACATGAAAGTATTGGGCTTGTATAAAGTCTGAAAAGATGGGTATATAGCAGAACAAAGGGTTTGGAGTCAGGAGCCTGTGTTTTCATTCTTGTTTTGTTGTTGATCATCCTGGTTTTCCTATTAACTGGTGAGAAGTGACCTTGGAAAGTCTGAACCTCAGTATCCTGAAATGAAAACATTCAGTAAATGGAATGTTTTCCTTAGATGATCTCAAGGATTTATTTCCTATTCTTTGATTATGGAGAACATTCCAGGTGAAGGGAGGGCACAACTTTCTAAAACACAAACCAAAACTTGTAAACCTGAATATCTTGATCTGCATTGTATGCATCCTTATGCTATATTACTATGCATCTCTAAAAAAACAGTTACTAGAACTTAGAATCAGTCAGTGAAGCACACAGGTGCTTCTGACTGAATAGAAATCATGGCAAATAAGGTACATTCTTGTATGATACTTTGGTACACTTTGGTGAGCTTCAAATGTACCACGAAATGTGCTAGTTCATGTAAATCCTTCATAATATTCACTGCCATTGAGCTAGAAATCACAGCTTTACATGTTTTGACCTAGATAATAGTGAATCCAGTTCTGCAACTCATATGAAAGCTGATTTCATTTGCTCTATAGTTAAATCAACATTAGCATGCTATTTCTAAGGAGAAACATAAAACAATTCTTTTCTACTTTCACTGTCTTTCCCACCCAGTTTAGGATGCTGATGTTAGAGTCTCTCTCTCTCTCTCTCTCTCTCTCTCTCTCTCTCTGTGCGTGTGTATGTTTGATGGCATACAACAGATACAGCTTTCAAAAAGTAGAACCCACAAGGAAAATGGCTATTGTTTGTTCACACTTTGGGAACGCAGAAGAAGCCATGATGTACCTTCCTTCATCTGCAGTGGTCAAATGCCACAAAGACAATGAGGAACCGTTAACATCTGTGTCCAGCATGATGCAGACATTGCACATTTTTAGACTTCAAGAAAAAAGGAATTGAAACAAATGGAAATGTTAACACAATGGGTTAAGAGCAGACACAGACTACAAGATTTTTCTAAAACATTGTGGATGTTAAAATGACTGTTCAGTGGGACAATCATATCCCATCCTCATGTCACCCTCAAGGAAGGACATTCCCACTGCAATTTGCAGGAGAAATCAAAGGCCAACTCACATCAAGCTTTTTTTCTCCTCCCTTCCCACTGCTCTGCACAGACCTATCTGGTGGGCATATGTGGATAAAGGAAGCAGGCATGGATGACTCTGTGTTTTCTGGATTTTTCTCTCCCTCTGATGAGATCACAGAGCTATCTGCAAAGAACTGTCAAACTGCATGTTAAGATATGCATGGTAATCCTGCTTTGCTCACTAGTAAGGATTGTAGTTTTCATCCCTTCCAGTGACTCGGTGGCAAGTCTGTATTTGAGGGAATATAAACTAATACCAACCCTCCTTAAACTGTTTCATGAAATAGAAAGGGAAAGAACACTGCCTAACTCATTTTATGAATCCAATATTGCTCTCATCCCAAAACCAGACAAAGATACCTCCAAAAAGGAGAACTACAGGCCAATTTCCTTAATGAATATTAATGCAAAAATCCTCAATAAAATAATGGCAAAATGAATCCAACAACACATCAGAAAGATCATACACCATGACCAAGTTGGCCTCATCCCAGGGATGCAGGGGTGGTTCAACATATGCAAATCTATAAATGTAATACAGCACATCAATAGAAGCAAAGACAAAAACCACTTGATCACCTCAATATATGGAAAAAAGCCTTCAACAAGATCCAACACCACTTCATGATAAAAGCTCTAAGAAAACTAGGAATAGAAAGAATGTACCTCAACATTGTAAAGGCTATATATGACAAACCTGTAGCCAACATCATACTTAATGGTGAAAAACTGAAACTATTTCCCCTAAAATCAGGAACGAGAGTAGGGTGCCTACTATTCCTACTCTTATTCAACATAGTACTGGAATTTCTAGCCAGAGCAATTAGGCAAAAAGAATAAATAAAAGGAATCCAAAAAGGTAAAGAAACTGTCAAAATATCCTTTTTTGCAGATGATGTGATCCTATTCCTTAATGACCCAAAAAACTCTACCCCAAAACTCTTAGACACCATAAACAGCTATAGCAAGGTGGCAGGATACAAAATCAACTTACAACAATCATTAGCTTTTTTATACACCAACAACAAACAAACTGGGAAGGAATATATGGAAACGATTCCATTCACAAATGTCTCAAAAAAACTAAGATGAATCATCTTGGGTTGTAACACATTTGTACATGAAAGCAATGCTAGGAACTTGCTGTATAGCTATCCTTAACTCAACTAGCAAAAACGCTTTGTCTTCCTTATTATGCTTATGTCTTTTCTTCAACAAAATATTCTGCCTGGAAGAATATTTTCCAGGGGGAGGAAGGAGGGACCGGGTGGGGGAGGTGGGCAGGTGGAGAAATGAACCAAACAATGTATGCACATGTGAATAAATGAATAATAAAAAAAAATTTTTAAAAACCTATATTCCTCAAACCAAGACAACTGATACTTTTTAAAAAAAAGTTTACAACAACATTTCATCTAAATTTAGAGAAAAAGAACATTGTTATTAAGACTTCAGAAAGACCAATAAATAAACCCTTTCTTTTCACTTCAGAAAGGAAGCAGAGAATGTGGCTATAGATCTGCAGCTCCAAGAACTTGCTAATTCTTCACCTTCATTCACCCCTTATTTGACCAGCATATGTTCAGTACTGCAAGAGGTGATTTTAGGTGGAACATGGGTAAACATTTAAAATGCTATTAGTTCATTCACTCACTGTCATTTATTCAGTCAATGTTTATAGAGTACCTGCTATGTCTCCGGCACTGGCCCAGACACTAATGGAAAAAAATTCAGCTCTTTCACATAAAATAGGAAAGTATATCTGTCATTTTAGAAACTGAAAGATCTCAGTGAATAAAACTCATGATGTTGTGCTCTCCTGTGCAAACACTGAAGCTCCCTCCCTCCCCACATTGATTATAAATCACTTACTGGACAAATACTGTGGCCTCTTTCAAATACAGGTTATCAGTGGTCTCTTTAACAGCCTCTTAAAAGTTTGTACCCATGGAATCCCGAGATCCACTTTCTTGCCTCCTGAGCCTTTCTCTTCTCTTCTTTCCAGAAGGTCATGATACCTGGCCATGAGATTGGCTGACCACAGGCAAATTTGGAGGAGCTTACATGTAAAGAACAGCCTAGGGTTTTACTACATAGGGACTGATGGGAAAGGATAGTTAGTGTCTGGCTGGTGAGCATGCTTTTTCCTTCCTGCAGTGCAGTGCTTATAAATAACACCTTGTTTTTAATTCTAAACATTCCTGGACCCAACATTCCCAGGAAGACAGTGGTGAACAAGCAGACAAGATTCTCGAACTGTTGAAACTTACTTTCTTATGGAGGACGATATGCAATACCTCCTTCCCCCATTAGTTTTTTTTAAGCAGGTAGCATTATGAAGGAACAAAACATATATATATATAAATACAGATATGTATATATATACAGATATATATATTTATACAGATCTATATGTATAGCTATATATACATTTCTTTTAATGTATTTAGAAAATACAGCCATCACACTAAATTCATGATTTTGTGCTTGCTTTTCTTAACATTACATTCATGTTCCCTTTTTTATTATAACAAGTGAAAAATTCAAAGTAATTCACATTTCCTTATATTCTGGAATGACTGTACAACAGAGTGCAAGATGGTTCTGTGTGGATATTTAAAGGCATCTCAGTCTCAAAAAGGCCACCTCCCTTCTTGCCTATTGTGTTCTTCCCCTTGGTGTCCCAGTAGAATATTCCTCCAGGAGGGAAGGGCCTTTGTCTTACTCAAGCTGAGAAAAGTTCAGCATAAAGCAGTGTCTCCTGAGGGAATGAATGAAGAAATAATAGTACAGGTGGCAAAGGGGCATGGTGGTTAATTTTATGTGTCAACATGGCTAGGCTATGGTCTCTAGTCTTTTGGTCAAACACTAGTCTTGATGGTGCAGTGAAGGTATTTTATATATGTGATTAACATTTATAATCAGTTGCTATAATAACTTGGTGATATGGATGTGAGTGGGCCTCATGCTAATCAGTTGATAGCCTTAAGAGCAAAACCCAGAGATTCCTAGAGAAGATGAAATTCTGCCTCAGAACTTTAACATAGGAAACCTGCCTGACTTTCCAGCATGACCTGCAGTATTGGACTCAGGGTTGTGACATTAATTCTCAGTTGAGTTTCCAGCCTGCAACCTGTCGTACAGATTTCAGACTTGCCATCTCTCAAAATTGCATGAGGTAATTCCTTAAAAGAAATTTATTTTTTTCATGCGTGTTGGTTCTATTTCTCTGGGGAGCTCAGACTAAACTCTGGCAAACGTCATAATGGTGGTTCTCAAATGACTCAAGTCCAGGAAATGCTGATGTAATAGTTGTGTTTCTTCCTTCAGTAGAAATTCCAAGCAAATGTACATATTTATTTTCTAGCTTGGTTTCAGCCTTTCTCCTACCCTTCCATCTCACTCACCCTCTCTTTCTCTCTGCTCTTAACATCCCCAGAGAGTACCTCAGGTTGTAAAAATAAAATGTTGCCACTCACTAGATTGAACAGTTCTGGATCTCTTCAATATAAATATATAGCAAAACTCACACTTCAGTGTAATTGAAATAAAATAGAATCTTGTTTTCAGTGGCAGTTTTAAAGCCTTGTTGGGGAATACCTCCGGGCTTAATGTACTTTTCAAACAGCATGCTATTTCCTTCTTGCTAGCCAATTTAAATAGATTCATAGTTACTCTGAAGCAGAGAGCTAGCTGGAAGCCACTGCGGTGATGCTGCCTTTAGACTAAGCCTACAGTCCGTTTCATGAAGCTGTCCATGGAGAGTGGCTGTCTTCTCCTGAGAGAGCAAAGAGCTTTATTGGACACAGCCTCCATCACCCCACTGCCTCCCTTCAGAGAATGTACCACATTCCTGCCGTCTCTGTCAGTCACCTGCTCTTACCATGTCTGCCAAACCCTGATTCCTTGGCTTGGAATTTTTGAAGCCTTTTTGGCGGGGATGGAGATGGGGAGATGGGAGGATTGTTGGGAGGCTCAGATTGTGATTTGCATATCTCTTTGGGCATCCTGACAAGGGCGGGCAGAACTGAAAACTTTCTTATTGTTTTGAGAAAGAACAGATGGTGAAGTGCAAACCTATATAAACTTAAACTAATGCCTATTATAATATTGGGGGGGTCAGAAATAAGGACAAAAGACAAAACTAAAATGAAGAAAGTGGCAATTTTTTAGAACATGGCTTAGGTAGTTAAAATTATTCCTATTCCTTTTTTTCCACATTTCTCCTATTCTACGTTTTGCCAAACCCAAATGGTTCCACTATTAAATATATCCTGATTCCAGCCACTTCTCTCCATTGTCACTTGCCACATAATTGATCATCTCTTGCTTTTTCCAAGAATGCAACCCTGTGGTCTTTTCTCTGCATGGCAGCCTGATGGTCCTTTAAAAATGCAAAGCAGATAATACCTCCTCTGTTCAAATATTCTATCCACTTCCCAAGTCATAGAATCAAATCCAAATTTCTCATCCTAACCCATCAACACTTTGTGAGCTCACTCCTGGAGGACACCTCTGTCCTCATGTCTTAGCACTCTGCCTCTTGAGTTCTTTGCTTCAGCCACACTGGCGTTTTTTAAATGAAAGGGTCTTGTTATGTAGCTCAAGCTGACCTTGAAATTGTGATCCTCTTGTCTCAGCCTTCCAAGTGCTGGGACTACAGGTATATACCACCAGGTCCAGCCTGGGCCATATGTTCTTTTTCCTCTTTGACTGATCCTTCATGCTCTTAAGTCCTCAGAGCATTTTCACTTGCCAGGCCACTCTCCTGGAATGTTCTTGCAGAGATTGTTGCCTAGCTAAATTCTCATCATTTCTTCACAATGACCATGATCATCATCTTCTGCCATTCTATCATGTAGTTGTGCCAGTTCCTTCAAATGAAAATAAGCTCCAAAAGGGTGGGTCCCTTATTCTTCCCATCGCTGTATGTCATTGTCTTTCCAGAGCTGAGTCTGAGGTTCTGTTAAGGAGAGACTCAGTTCATGTCTGTATAAGGAGAAACTCTGAAACTCAAACTTTGAGCCATTTCTCTGAGCTGTGTTTGAGTTTCACTGGTCCAGGAGACCTGGGTGGCTAGCATCTCTAGGATCTCTGGGACAGTGGTTCTCAGATCTTAGTGTGCATGTGAATCAACTGGGAAGCTTGTTGAAAACAGAAGTTGAGTGCATTTATTCTAGATTAAATGCCTTTCTAGTCTATATTTTACATAGGCATCCCAAAAGATTTTTGTGGCTTGTTGTGTTTGGATGATAACACAGAGAACAAGAATGAGAGAGCAGAGGCCAGGTAACAACAGAAATATCTAATGCTTCAAGGAAATACTCTGTATTTTGACCCCTGGAGTTACAACATCACAGTCAGTGTGACTCTTCAGCAGAATCCCCAGTGTCCCTCATGACTTAGAGTGACTTTGAGGAGTCTCTGAGCACAGACCACCCATGCATCCATTTCATTTACTTGCAGATGGCAAGCATTGTGGCAGCATACACAACTAAAAAAATTTCAGGTTAGTTTAAAAGTATCCCAGAGGTATCTTCCTTAAAGTCTTGTTGTGCTGTGAAATCTATCTTTCAAAACTCTAAATACCATCCCTAGCTTCAAATGATGCCTGAGGGGTTCATGAATCTATAGTTTTTATCACCTTGGAGAATGAAACTCTCCTAATGTCTGGATTCAGCATCTGTACTCATATAAAAAATGCTTCAGTGCAGCTGTTGGAAATATAAATCAATACAAGGCTTACACTTCTGAAGCTTCAGTACAGATACCCTTTGACCTGACTGCCCAGCTGAGACTATCAAAAGTAATTTGCAATAATGAACAATGCCACTCTATGCTCCAGGATACCAAGGCAAGTTCTAGGTATCCCTCAAATGAAAATTCTCTGGGATCAGAAAACGTATGTCATTTTCATTTAAATTTTTACAAGCATTTAAAAGGAAAGAGGAGGATCATCTAGCCACTATAAAAGGGGAAAATCTAATATTTTCTATGATTTAGAATTTAACCATAGGGTAACATTTTTTAAAAAACACACTGTTTGCATTGTTAATTTAACTGCTAGAGATGATACACTGAACAGATGAAGTTTGTTATCCATACATTATCTCTCTGAGCCTCTGGTTTTAGAAGAGGATAAGGAAGTTAGGATCTGCCATACCTAATCACTTACCGAATGATTATAAGTTGCATGAAGAAGTTAATAAAATCTTAGCCATAGCCCTCCCTTGAAGACTATATTCAATACTATATGACACTGAGATTCAGAAAGAATACCACAGGATGAGAGAAAGCATGCTTAAAAAAGCATTAAAAATCAAGTGAGGGGTTCAGTGGTGAAGTGCTCATCTAGAATGCACAGGGCTCAATTCTCAGCAACACACACAACGCGGGTGACAGGAACAGCAAGACATTCTTGGGTAGAAGCTAAAGTGGTCTCTTTTTCTTAATTATTAAGAATATACAAGAATTTTACAAAACATTATGACAAATTGCTCAAATCTTGGGTGGCCCCTAAAAACCTTTAATGGAGAAGGCCTTTCTGGTGCTTATTTATTCAGTTGACAGGCACTTCTTTGGTATTTGCCCTGGCTTAGCCACTGTGGATAGAACAGTAAACATGGTGGACCCTGGTGCTTATCCTTGGGAAGGTACAATCTAATAAGAGAGATGGATGCTAAAAAAAAAATTACACAAACAAACATGTACTCATTATTGTGAAAGTCCTATGGTAGAAAATTACAAGATCCCATGAGAACAATGAACAGGGGTTCATTGAAATAGAGATTGGTGCTGTCAGTTAAGGTATCTCCATAGTAACACCTTTCATGGTTAAGAATTGGTACAACAGAGAAATGGAGAGAGGAATAACAAGACCTTCAAATGAATCCTACTATGACCTTCAACTTTTCTAATCCTTTCTTCTGTTCTGTGTAATGTGATATGAATCCACCTAGTGAAATATTCAATTCTGTCATTTCCTTTAGTTCTTTTTTATAGTGTCATTTTCTGAAACACCTCATCTCTTTATGTATGGTACCAGTTTTCTCCTATTGATTTCATTTTAAACTTTCTATTTTGAAATTATTGTCAATCCCCAGAAAGTTACAAAGATAGCATAGAAGTGTTATGTGTATACTTCACCCAGTTTTTCCATTGATTATATTTTGCATAACAATGACACAATAGCAAAATAAGAAACTGGCATTGATGTAATGTGTGCATAGTTCTACATAATTTTCTTGAATATGTGGTGTTATGTGACCTGCACTGCAATGAAGACACAGAGCTGCTTCATTGTGATAAAGATCTCGCTTTTATTGATTCTTTTTAATCACTCACACCTCGGCACCCCCATCCCTCCCCAGTATCACAATTCCTGGCAACCACTACTCTGTTCTCTATCTTTGTAATTTTGATATTTCATACAGGAGAGGATGTGCTATATTATTCTTGTATTAAATAACAAAAACTTTTAGAAAGGAAGGAAGGAAGGAAAGAAGGAGGGGAAGGAGAATAAAAGAGAGGAGAGGAGAGTACTGTCTTATTTTGTACATGACATCAGCTGAAATCTTTGCTTTTTTTCCCTTTCATTTTCCTTTTCCTTTCCTGCTCCTCTCCTCCCTCCCCTCTCCTCTTTTCCCCTCCCTCTCCTCTTCCATTCTCCTCTCATTTCTCCTGCTTTACCCTCCTCTCTCCT